GGGTCTGCAGAAACTTTGTATTAATCCAGAATTCGATATTACGACGTGAAGGACTGGAAAAATTACAGCAATATTGTACGGATAGACTTAAGAAAGAGCCGGAATCGATTCTTAGGTCACCAGATTTTGTACATTTAAATGAAGATATCGTTGTAGAACTTCTCAAACAAGTTAATATTCAAATGTCAGAAATTGAAATTTGGGATTACGTACTAAAATGGGGAGTGGCGCAAACTCGAATGCTCAAGTAAGTATGATGCCATACAAGTATTCACAACATTAAAATGTTAAAATCAAAAATAACGAATAATTATGTTAATTAGTGATAATTTTGGGCGATGGTCATCAAAAGATTTTCTCATATTGGAATTGTCATTGCATAATTGCCTTCCTTGGATCAGATTTTTCCATATGCCATATCGTGAATTTTCTATTAAAGTAATGCCATTTGAAAAGATCTTACCAAAGAAATTGGTTCACGATGTACAACGTTATCATTTCGTCCAAAATAGTCAACCGCTTTACAATGCCATTCTGCCCCCAAGACTCGGTGTGTGTAACTCGTCAATCATTAAGTGGTGTCACATGGGATTGATTGCGAGTTGGATTGACCGCAAAGATTGTGAAAGTGATCTGTGGAAACCTTACGATCCCATTGAAATACCATACAAATTTGATTTGATTTATCGAGGAAGTCGAGATGGATTCACGCCAAAAATATTTCACAAAGCATGCGATAATCAGGGACCGACAATTACTGTGATAAAGATCAAGGGGTTGGATCAAGTTATTGGCGGATATAATCCGGTATCTTGGCAATCGTTTAAACCAAACGCCGGTTGGTCAAGAACTACGGAAAGCTTTATATTCTCGATAGGCATTGGTAAATCGGATTCACTGACAACCAAAAGGACAACTACCGTAAGTCGAGTCGCAGACGCGAGTAAAGCAGTTTATAGTTTTGTAGCGTTGGGACCCTATTTTGGTGATGGAGATTTGAAAGTCTGCATTCGATACGATAGCCTAAGTTGTAGTTGCACTCATAAATCTTATTCTTTGAAGATTCTTGAAAAGTCAGATTGGATGGTTGTTGAAGAATACGAAGTCTTTAAAGTTGGAACCAAAAATGAAAATAAATAGAAAATCTATGATGGGAAGCTTAAAGGCAATATTGAAGGTGGTGCTAACGATGATATAATTAGAGATGATAGTTAGCGAAATTGTTAGGAGAAAAAAAAATAATATAGAATTCCTAAACTATTGATAATT